TCTCCCTGTTTCCTTTCTAAGTCCTGTAATTCCTTTGGGCCCTAGCTTGGGTCCTGCTTTTTCCATCAAGTCTTTCAACATTTCTATCTTCCTTTTCAGAATAGGAGTTGTATATGGGTGTGTAGGGGTGGAAAGATGTTATACCTTTCCTTACCCATCATAAGGTTCACAGCTGATGCTCTTATAACAAAAGATGGATTAACAAGGGAAAAGCATAACAAATTTATTTTATCAAAGTTCTTTTTGTTATTTTAGTATCTACTCTAAATTCTTTCATGTATTTGCTTCACTTGTCTATGCAGATATATTTTGCACATAAACAAAATTAAGATATTTCTGTAAAATTTGTTTTGTAACCTGTTTTTGCTTTCCTTTTTGTTTTTGGTTTTTTTTTTTTTCAACTTTTAGATTCAGTGGGTACATGTGGAGATGTATTACTAAGATATATTGCAGTGATGTTGAGGTATGGGGTGTGAATCAACCAGGTTCAATCAAAGTTTCATGTGACACAGGAGCCTTCAGAAATGAAGATCCAGAGACCCAGGGAAAACTGTCTACTTTTATGCTTAGGTTTGAAGAATGGATAGTCCTTGTAGGCATGTGATTGGACAATGGGTTTGACCTAATGGTAATAGACCTAGGTGAGGGATTAGGACCCAGCAAGGCCTGCCTGTTCAGATTCTTCTTGGCCTCTCTGTGCAGCATTCCTTCTTGCCAGGTATGAAGCAGGACCCTCTGGACTGAGGGTCTTCAAGGAAGAAGGGAAGAGTGGTCTTTCTACATCTTATGGCTTGCTCTTGGGGAGAGAAGTTTTAGTTTCTGCGACCTACCTTGGGGAGAGGAATTCTGGTTTCTATGACTTGCTTCAGGGAAGAAAGAGGGGTGGGAGACAGGAGGAGGGGAGAGAAGGTCAGAGCGACCTTGCTTCTGAAGCCCCTTCAGTCTCCTTCAGTTCAAAGTCCTTGGCATGCCAAGGTGACAGACTTTGCGATGTTGTTTTCTGAGCTCCAACAAGTGCTTATGTGGAATTTTACCCATCGAAGGTCATATATTGTTGAAATTGCTAGAATTTCAAAAATGTACAATCTGAATCAATTTCATCTTTCTTTTGTAACTTATTCGTGCTCCAGAGTGGCATCTATAGGAAAAGTTTGTGCTTAAATTAATGAGGCAAAAGAAGTATATCCACTTGAAAATATTTCATTATTTAGCCATTTAAGTCAGAGGAGCTTCTAGCCAAAGTTTAGAAGTCTTTGCACTTAGACAACACCTGGATCCCCCACCTGTGCACCTAGGGTCCTCCCTGTGGCCTCCCCATCAGGCACGGCAGTGCAGAGCTAGCAAAGGGTACCGTCTGGCAGGGCCTCTCCACCAGCCCTGCAGCCCTGTGGTGCTGCCTAGGGTCAGGTGCCCTCAAAGCTCCATCACTAAACTGCTTAGTGGGACTTATAGGCACTGCTTATTGGAAACAATCTTCCACTGGATGTTTTATATTCAGAGATTCATCAGGGGTAAATCTGACTGAAAAAGATATTTATTTTGAAAGCCAAGTTTCTCCAGAGGCTTGTCAGTGAAGCTTCAGAGTTCAAGGCTGCTGCATGTCAGTGAGATCAACTGTGTGCCTTTTGACACATCGGACTTAAGTAATCAGTCCACTGTGGAGTTTGGGGCTGGGAGTGGGCATTGGGACAATTCAAGCATAAGAGAGATGGGAACAGGCTGTGCGTAAGGGGGACTCAATTTGTGTTTATGATGGTAAATTAGGGCCAGGAAGTCCTTATGGGTTCAACTCTCAAAGTAATTACATCTTTGCTAAGATCTGCCAATTCTTTCTGAAGGGGGTAGATTGAAACTACAATTTTAACTCTTGATTGAATTGCTACTTCTTTTATCAGGTAAAATGCATTGCAAAAGTGAAGTCTTTTGGCTAGTTCTACACTGCCAAAGCCTTCCATTATTATCTTTTTCAGAAACATGCTGATGAATAAGGACCTTCACTGCAGCATAATAGTGATGTGAAATAACTGGAGAAGTTGAAAATATTTAACCACTGGGGAATGAATGGTTTAATAATTTATGGTACATCCTTATTATGAGATACTATTCAAGTATTAAGAAAATAAGGCCTGCCTGGCATAGTGGCTCACACCTGTAATCCCAGCACTTTGGAAGACTGAGGTGGGCAGATCACAAGGTCAAGAGTTCAAGACCAGCCTGACCAACATGATGAGACCCTGTCTTTACTAAAAATACAAAAATTAGCTGGGTGTGGTGGCGCACACTTGTAATCCCAGCTACTTAGGAGGCTGAGGCAGGAGAATCACTTGAACCCAGGAGGCAGAGGTTGCAGTGAGCTGAGATCACGCCATTGCACTCCAGCCTGGGTGACAGAGTGAGACTTCATCTCAAAAAAAAAAAAAAAAAAATCTATCTGTATTTAGAGATGTGAACAGAGGGCCATGATATATTGTGGGGGGAAAGGAGCAAGATGCAAAATTATATATGTATATGTATGTATATACCTATATATACATATGTATACATACCATAATCTATTTTTGTTCAGAAGAAAATCATATATGTGTAAATGGACTGCTTAATAATATTAGCTAATATTTATTAAATTTGTATTGTGTGCTAACACTATGTCCAATACTTACCATACCTAAATGACCTCATTTAGTTCTCAAAATAACACTGTGAGGTAGGTAATTATTTAACCTGCTTTACAGCAGAAGAAACAGATTGGAGAGGTCAGGAGGCCTTCTCCAGGCTGCATGGGAGGTTATAGGCAAAAGTTGGACTCTAGTCCAGAAGCCTGCACTTCCATCCACCATGCTCTGTGCACTGCTTATTAACATTTACTTGCTAGAATATAAGGCATCCTAGTGTTTAGTTGGGGTCTTAAATGAAACTCATACTTGAGATGGGTTTTTAACGAGGTGCCTCTCAGATCCCTCCCTCACACCCTGAATTGGCATCCAGGCTGCCAAAGCCCCCTGCGCGCATATCTGTGTACAGGTCATCTCCTCACCCTGACGCCTTCCACCCCATGGTGCTGTTACTTATGGAATTCAGAAGGCAGCTACTGCTTTGTTTTCTGTCTTCCCGATAGCTCTAGGAACCTTGAAGAGTACCTACCTGCTACTTACACATCATCTTGTTCTTAAATCAAATGTGGAGCATAATTGTTATCATACAATTTTAACTGCTAGGGTCACCTAGTTCTACAGTTCAAATTAAACATTAGCTCATATTGCCTCTAGGTTTAAAACTAATGTACCCAGAAGAAATTTACTAAGGGCCAGCAATGTTGAAATAGCTTAAGTGCAAACAGAGGGGTCCTGTGTGCTGGCAATGACAAGGCGATGTTGTCTAAAGTCCCTGTTTGATTCCTCATTAGTCCATCCCTTCCCAGTGGACTTTTCCTCTCTGAACTTTCAAGTCTTGTGCCTAAGCACTTCAGTTCACTCCTCGTTAAATGCCGTTGATTGGCTATGCATATGTAACATCCCTTGCTTCATTCCAGAAGAGGTCACTTCAGTACCGTTTTAATTCTCTGAAGGGATGATGTTTGACTGGTCATCAGTTAGCAGAACTCAAGCTTTGGAGCACCAGAATGTGTGCCAGAAAAATTTTTTTGAAATGCTTGTATAATGAACTCAGAGAGGGGTTTGGTCACCAGAATTGTTAGGTGGGGCTATTGCCTCCTAACTTTTGCTTCCCACAGTCCAAGCTTTGATGCACAAGGTTATGGTTGATTACTTTTTATTGCATTCTAGTGGGAACTGGTTTCTCCACCCATCCTCATTCTCTGTGGTCTCAATTCCCCATTGTTCCTTGGGTCTGAGGATGCAGCTGGATCTGAGAGTGTGAGACACTGTCATTTAGTACACGAACTAAAGATATAATCCTGTTTACTACTTTTTTTGGTCAAAGCAAAAATAATGCAAGAGTTATGTGAACACGATGTTTATTACATGTATAGAACTGAATATGTAGATGTTTATCATCTGGAAGCTTTGGGAAACTGGACTTTGATAATTTCCATGTAATGAATCCATTTCTCAAAAGCATTTTTTTCTAAAACACACACACACACACACACACACACACACACACACACATTGTTCTCTGTAACCTCCCCAGATAGATACTTTTTAAAGATCTTGCTTGTTAAAATGCCTGCCAGCCTTTTAGAGAAGTTGACAGTTTAGGTGGTTTCTGTTAGCAGAAACACGTGGACTCAAAGCTTTTCCTCTAAAATGAATCTGTTGTGTAACACCACAGCTGGCTCAGAATACAGGTGCGTGCTCCTGCTCTCCCTGAGAAGGTAGAAGGGGAAGAGACCAATCCAGATGAGATGCAGGGGAGGAGGGGACACCCAACAGCAAAGGCACTGTTGCAATCTTAGCCTAAACCATATCTCTGAGACAGAGTTTCTTATTGCCTGCTTGTATCTCTGGGTGACCACAGACCCCCTGCTCTCCAAGGTGAGTTGTGAACTCTGGAGCACTACCGAGATTGGCTGAGAGCTGAAGGAGAGTCCCAAAGGAGCTTCAATTCTGCAGAACTATACAGCCTTCTTTACCTTACCTTGACCAGGTGCTTAGAGTTTGGAAAGTCAGGGGTAAGAATTGAAATTCCTCCAGGTAAGAAGACCCCCCTCTTAGGAAATGGACTCCTCCAATTTTCTCACATGATTATTCAGGCACTTTCACTTTTCCATATATAGGAGTCGCTCAGGAGCAAGCTGTGGCAAGCTGGAGGGTGGGACACATCCTGAGTTCCATTCGCTCCCTCCCTTCTCAGCAGTCCTCGCCTGTTCTCACGTGCTCACAGGCAGTTAGGCAGAAGTGATCCCCGTGGCTCTGCCAAAGACAAGCCTGTTGAGTTGAAAGAAGAAGGAGAAGGAGAAGGAGAAGGGGAAGGAGAAGGAGAAGGAGAAGAGGAAGAAGAAGAAGAAGAAGAAGAAGAAAAAGAAAAAAAAGAAGAAGAAGAAAAAAACTCAGGCAAAGTCACAGCCTTAAAATTGTTCCCTGGAAGAAGCGTGAGTGGAGAAGTGTGAGAAGATGAATGGACCAGTGGATGGCTTGTGTGACCACTCTCTAAGTGAAGAAGGAGCCTTCATGTTCACGTCGGAGTCTGTGGGAGAGGGACACCCAGGTAAGTAGGCTGTCCTGGAATGACTGGAAAACTATCATTCCAAGCCTATACTGAGAGAGTCGCTTACAAATGGTTTTAATTGACACATAATAATTGTACATATTTATGGGGTACAGTGTGTTGTTTTGATCCATGAGTATAACATGTAATGATGAAATTAGGGTAATGGGCATGCCAGTTGCCGCAGACATTGACTACTTCTTTGTGGTGAAAACATTCAAAATTCCCTCTTCTAGCCCTTCAGTCACCCTACTGCGCAATGGAATGTCGGAGCTCATTCCTCCTATCTGACTGTAACTTCGTACCTGTAGGAGTCACTTTTCCTAGAACTCTTCAGAGCAATGTGTGTGAGTTACCAGAAGGGATCTCTAGAGAAACAGCATGGAGTAGTTTCATAAAACAGTCCCTCCTGATGAAGCCGTGCTGTGGCCCACCACCAGCATGCCAGCACGGTGGGGCCAAGACAGGGAGTAGCAGCTGGCTGGCTAAGAGTATGGCCCATGCAAAATGTATGATCAGGTCTTAACTTTTTATATGTATTTTTTTTTTTTTGAGCAAAGCTTTAATCTGTTATCAATGGCCAATTTAAGTCAACAGAGAATGTTCCTGAAACAAGACCATGGGTGACTAAGTTTTGCATGTAAAACATGTGCAACTTAGGCATGAAAGCCTGCACCCTGGTCGCTGCAAGGGTAGACCTCTAGGTGCTGGCAACTCAGTGACATTCTCTAAGAGCAGGATAGAAGACCTTCTAAACAGGAAGAAAATTTAGGCATTCATTTTGGTGCCTGAAAAGTAGGTGGACTATGATGTGGGGAAGTGAGAGAAGCTTCCTTGATGACAGTGAGAACTAGGACCAGAACATTCAGAGCCTCAAGTGTAGGACAGTGGCTCTCAAACTTCAGGGTGCTTCAGAATCCCCCAGAGGGCTTGTTAAGACACAGAGGGCTGCGCCCCACCCTCCGGAGTTTCCGATTCAGTAGGTCTTGGGAGAGGCTCCAGAATTTGCATTTTTGACAAGTTCCCAGGAGATGCTGATGCTCTGGGGTGAGAACCACAGAGAACCACTGCTCTTGGAGACCCCTGGGGGATAGATGTGCAGACTTCTGTATTTAAGTACCTCTTCAAAATTCATTTGAGTGTTTGCTAACTTATTACGAAGTCTGCCCTTTTCTATCTTCCTTGCTCTTGTTCTTCCTCAAAGATATTTATCTTTCCTACCTTGTAACTTGGCTTTGGACACCTCAGTGCACTACTCCTTCCATATACTTTAGCCAGTAGTTTTTGACGGGTGGTAGTTTTGCCCCACACCCCCCAAGAGCATTTTGTACTGTCTGGAGACATTTGTGGTTGTCACAACTATAGGAGGTGGGGTAAGGTGCTATTTGCATCTGTTGAGTAGAGGTCAGGCACACTGCTAAGCATCCTGCAGTGCACAGGACAGCCTCTCAACAAAGAATTATCTGGCCCAAAATGTTAATAGTGCAGCTGTTGAAAAACCTTGAATTGAATTGAGTTTTTTATGTGACTTAGCTCAGTTCAATGTAAATAGCCTCTTTCATTGTGCATAACTGTATAAAGTATCTAGGTGTACTGTATTTTCAATCTCAGATACATTCTGATCAGCTCCATGGCTGTGAACCTCATGTATAGCTTAGGAGAAAGATTCACTCCATGCGGAGGAAGTGGGTTTTTTGGCATGCAGTGGCCAGTGGTCCCAAGGATGGCCCATTGTGTGCAGCAGCCGTGTGCTCAGAGGACTGAGAATGAACATGCCAGCCAATCAGTTGATTGTTTTGTATACTTAATGACAGCCAATCAGTTTGTCTGACTGTCCCTTGTACTTGCCATTATAATTGTCCTGGTAAGTTTCCATAAAGGCTAGATGACTTTGTGCTTGTCATTCCATTGCTGAATTCCTCTCTGCTAGAAAGATAAAGTTTTTCTTTTCCGGTTTTCCAAAAACAAAAAACAAAAAAAAAAAAACCAGCTATTGGCTATCTTAAGTCTACTAAGTGATATTGATAAAAATTTTGAAAGGCAAAACCGAAAACAACAATTCAGAGGCAACCTCCTTGGCTGTTGTCTTGGTGTGTGGTGCTATCTGGAAGTCCCTGCTGGACTCCAGCTTTGTTCCTCTTCATGATGGATTTCCCTAGGCAGAGTGGGAGCCTGTGAGCTGTGTCTTTGCACAGGCAGAGACATCCACAATCAATGATCAGTCAACAAGCTTCTAGGAACCCTGATGGGTAGGCCTAAGGTGGCTGGCATGTATTTATTTTAGGATATTTTATCAGCGGGAGGCCTTCAGTGACAGAGGTGTGCAGAGGCGATGCGCTCAGACAAACCTAAAGGTGCTACCAGGGTCTGCCACTGGCAGGAGGCTAGATTTAAAAGAAAGAAAGAAAGAAACAAACAAAACACAACCTCAAACGTATGTTTAGCAGTAGTTTCTAAAGGAAAGATTAGGGAGTTAGTGAATATCTTTAATTACAGAATGTAACATCTGCTTTTGAGAGCCAAATTGCTTGATTCTGGATCTGCATTCTTAACAAAAACATATTACTCTATTAAGAGGAGACTGTGGGTATTTTTAACACTGAATGAGCTAGAATATATGTAAGTAGGTATCACTTTTATTTCTTAATTTGTAGATATTGACAGTTTGCATAACCCCAAAGCAAGAGTGGATTTTCCTACAAGCACCATTTAGTGCTTTACATTCTAGACCCTGCAGAGTCTTTAAGGCAAATAGTGGAGGAATAAAATCAAATTCCAGCTCATATTGAACCCTTGTCAGTCCCACCTTAATTGAAGAGGTCAAACTCAGTTCTAAGGACACCTGGCTTTCAGGAGGCTGAGTGACCATGTGGGAGGATCTGAGAGCTGCTTATGGAAGTATTCTGCAAATAGCAATGATGTATAGGGGATATCTTGTAGAATTCTTATGGGTGGAGTCATGTACTTGGGTGTGGTGTTTTATATACGGTGCATTGCATCTTGTGGAACCTGCCATGCAATGCAACTGTTTGAGCCGTCTGACTTTACCTCTTGGCAAAGAGATAAAATTGACTTCTTAACTATTTTTAAGTTCATTTCCAGGACTTTTCTAGATGTTAGAAGTAAAGGGAACATGATGAGGAATGAGAGACTTTTTATTTAGAAGAACGTGTATGTGTTTGTATATGTGTGAGTTGCTTGAGACTCCTAGAAGAGCTGATTTTGACTGGGTGCAGTGGCTAACACCTGTAATCCCAGCACTTTCAGAGGCTGAGGCAGGGGGATCACTTGAGGCCAGGAGTTCAAGACCAGCCTGGCCAACGTGGTGAAATGCCATCTCTACTGAAAATGCAAAACAAATTAGCCGGGCATGGTAGTGCATGCCTGTAATCCTAGCTACTTGGGAGGCTGAGGTGGGAGGATTGCTTGGAACCCGGGAGGTGGAGAGTGCAGTGAACCGAGATCGCACCACTGCACTCCAGCCTGGGTGATAGACCGAGATTCCATTTCAAAAAAAACAAATGTTGTTTCTTTTTTAGGGCATTCTGTGACTTTATATAATACATGTCATCCAAAATTAGGCAGGAATGGAAAGAAATAAAAATTTCAAAGTGTTTCTAATTTCTTATACTTTAAAAAAGTGTTTTCCCTCTGGTAGATAAGTTGATATGTAAACTGAAAAGATATCTAATTATTTTAACATTTCAATTTGTTATCCCTAATATTTTTGTGATTCTGACCCATATTTGCTCTTGCCCAGATAAGATCTGTGACCAGATCAGTGACGCAGTGCTGGATGCCCACCTCAAGCAAGACCCCAATGCCAAGGTGGCCTGTGGTAAGAAACACCCGATCCCTTCCTGCTGGAGACCTAAGTGACTAGACTGAGAAGTTAATCATGGGCATAAGACAAACGAGCCATACTCCTCAGTTCCAAAACCCATGTCCTCTGCTCTGCAGTAGATTTCTCAATTATGAGACCTCGCCTCTGTAATAACAGGGAGGAAAAACATTTCTAACCATGAAACAAATAGATAATTATTTTTAGCAAGAATCTGATGTTAGATGTCATAGCAACCATAAATAGCACAGGGTTGGACCAGCACATGGCCTTCCTGATGCTTGATCTCATTGGGAACAAGGAGGTCTTTCAAAGTTCTTAGGTGAATCTTCCAGACGCGATGAAACAGCTGGAAATACAGGTAGCTGCCTAGATGGTTGTAAGCTGCGCCCTCATTCTAGGAGCCTCTGTTGGCTGCACAGATACCTGGCTTCTCTTGTTTTCTTTCCTAGTTTGTGGTATGATTTAGGTTTTAAAATAATTAGTGTCCCCCATTTAATAGCAACTGGAAGGCAGCATCTTCATCAATTGTTTTTCAATAAATCAATGGCTTTCCTAAGAGACATTAATGTTAAACTAAAGTACTGAAGCCCTGGCTCCCATCTGCATAATTTATTGTGTCTGAAGACTCATGTAGGCCGAAGATCTTCATCTTTATTTGTGGGATAAGTTGTTTGGTGAGAAAACTTTTGCCTGGCTTGAAGCCCATGGCACAGTGGCAGAGTCAGGGACTCTGGAGCCTGGAGGGGCCCCCAGGGTGATCAGGTCCAGGCTATTCATTTTAGAGACAGGATCACGGTGCCCCAAGGCCATGGGGTAGAGTTCCCCAGTGTGAAGACCAGAGTCCTGCTCTCCTTACTGTCATTGTCATGTCCTGTCCACTGCACGGACCCATCCTTCTCTCTCTGGTTGCATCCTCGCCCCTGTATTGAATACTGCAGGGATTCATCCCCCTCTGAGGGTAGATTCTACCCTTATATTTTTGTAAATATCTGGAGAGAAGGTTGGCCTGCTTTGATTTTTTTGGTCTGGATCCCACTCCCTAAAGCCTGCAGTGGAGGTTTAGCAATGTCGGGGATGGGGGGTCACATGTGTGGACTACGTTCTTTATGACAGCTACATACAACCATCATCTCCCTTTAATCCACACAGCAATCTTATAAATAGCTTTATTAAATAGATGAGGGAACAGAGACTTAGAGGGGTTAAGTAAGTTGTCCAGGATCACCACTTACAACTGACTCTTTCCAAGACAGCACTGAAAGATGCTCAGTGCTTGGTGCTAGGATTTTTTCTTTTTATTGACATTTCTATTTTCCTTCTGGAATCCATTCCTCATAAGGCCCCTTGTGTGTCTTCTTTGTCCACGCTGTGAGAGGTCTGGGAATATGAGCTTCCCTTTGCTGGCACTTGGCTGCTAACTCTCCCCACTCCCTTTCAGAGACGGTGTGCAAGACCGGCATGGTGCTGCTGTGTGGCGAGATCACTTCAATGGCCATGGTGGATTACCAGCGAGTGGTGAGGGACACCATCAAGCACATCGGCTATGATGACTCGGCCAAGGGTGAGGGCAGGCCTCCGGGTCCGAAATCCCTGTTACTCTCTGCTAATAGAGACCCCGATGCTGAGTCAAACCCGCGCCTTTCAGCCTGATGGGAGTATCAACACTACCAGGAGGAAAACACTCTTACACTCGTCTGTCAGGTTTCAGAGGTCAAAGGCTCTGGCATAAGAATGGCCAACAGGTGACTATGCCCAGCAGGCCCAGCACATGCCCATCTGTTGTTGACTGGGCTTGTTTTGGTCCTGCCTTCTTGGCACTGGCAAAGGCTTTGGAGAGAAAGACGCACTGAATAAAGGGGGCTGCCCTTCTTTGGAGACATGCTCCCTGCCAGGCACTGGTGATAGTCTCTTGTGTTTTCCTAATCATTTATGTACTTATGCAGACGAGGAAATGGAGGGCTAGAGGAGTAAACAGTCTGTGTGAGATCACAGGGTAAGCAACCACTAGGCTCCGGACTCCTGTGCTTCCACTAAACATACTTCTAATCATAGACATGGAGCAAGATGACTCAGTCCAGAACTGGTGCTGACAGCAGACGAGGCTGGTCCAGGTTAGCACCTGTGCCACGTAGTATAGGGCCACCACCCAGGGAAGGGGCATAGACCCTAGCAGAGCCTTGAAGCAGATTCCAACATCTGAGGCTGGGCAGGCCAGGCAGCGGTACGGCCTGGAGGGCAGCAAAGGACCCAGAGAGCGAGCGCCAGGTGCGGAGGGCCTGTGTGCGATCACATTCTGCAGGAGTTTCAGGGACCCTTTGTCCATGCTGGCTTCCTGGGCAGGGCTCTGGTCCCAATTGTTAGAGTCTCCACATTGGTCTCTGGCATTAGATGTTCAGGCAATTCCAATTTTTAAAGAAAACTCCATTTTGACTCTCTGTTGGCTCGCTCCCTAATTCTCTGAAATCACTGTGAGAGATGTGGTGACCTCACACCATGGTAAAAAGACCCACTTCCAGGTCAACCTGCCTAGATAAACACCTGTAATCAAGAGGCACAGAGAGAAGCATGACTTTAAAGGTGTTCATTTCTGCCTGTGTCACATAATGGTTGCTTAGGGTGATGTGTGGCATCCTGTGGGTCAGGGTATGTAGAGATGCCAGACCCCCGCCTTATAAGTGAGAGAGCCCACTCATGGTATGATGGTGCAGACTCACAGAGGTTCAGTCCAGCCACGGCCTGGCGCAGCCCAAAGCGCTCATGAGCAATTACTGTTGGTTGAATAGATGACAGTGATTTTGAGACTCAGTGGGAAGAGAAGCAGTAAGAGCCGGTTAGTTCTGCTGGTGGGGACATGAGGGTATTCACAGAGGAAACACATTGTCCCAGAGCTGCAGCTTCCTGAGGCGTTACCACACGGAGCCTGTTCTACCAAGAAAAACCAGTTTGTTTATGTACATTTAGACCTTATTCAAGTGCAAAACTTATTCTGCATTAGGTAGGAGGGAAATTTTCCAGGAGGCAATGTTCCCTAGGAAGGAGAAATGAGCGAGAGCCCACCCATGGCTGAGTTGGGCTCAGCGGGCTGAGGTTCCCTGTGCCCAAGTTTGTCCATTTACCTGTGCTCGATGGACAGGAACAGCCTTAGGTCATGTGCAGTAACAGCTTTAGCAGGGTCTCAGGCCAATGGCTCCTCATTGCTCCTGGCTGTGGTGTTGCTGGCCTCATTGTCCTTTCCAAGCCCTGTACCTCTCCTCTTGGTCCCCTAAGTTCTGTTTTTCCAAATTCCTTGGAGCCCTTGCTTGATTTTTGAGCCCTGGGGAGATTCGTTATTTAGACAGACAGTGATTAGGTAAACTGTGAAATGTTCAGTGCAGAACAGGACAGCCTTTGGCAGTTCTTTAAAGACTGTTCATTGATTTGCGCATTCAAAAACATTCATTAGGAAACAGGAAGGTGTAAAGGGCAAAGGTGACCTGATACTCCTAGGGTATATGATGCAACATGAGGTGCCCAGGGGTAAGTTCCTGGCATCATGTGTGATGAACTGCAGGCAGGTCCGGGGACATGCACTGAGGGTGGACATAGGGTTTGGGCATGTGGGGTGGGAGCTGGAGGAAGAACGTTCTAGGCAGGGACCTAGTGGAGATGGAAAAGTATATCATGCTGACAGCTAAACCTGAGTTCATGTTGGCTCAAGGAGTCCTGGGAGCAAGGGCTGTGTCAGACTGAAAAGCTTCAGTTTTATTCCTTGGCAGTAGATCCCCACCTGAAGCTGGTACAGAAACAACAGCTTGGATCTGTGCATTTTCTCTGTAAGTCCTTTCAGGCTGTGTGGGTAGGAGAATAGATGGGAAAGAACATGGCTGTGGGAGTTTGGAAAGTGAGTGTGTCACTATGCTTGACGTGGTGGGGGCATCCATGTGTTCAGCCCCTTATTCTCACAGTCCGTGTGGCTGAGCCCAGCACAGCTGTGAGGAGGTGTGCACAGTCTCGGTGCATAGCAGTTTCCTCATGGGACTCCCAGGGCTGAGCTACTGCTAGTCCAGACTTTCCCAAATCAGTGCCCAGCGTGCCAGGGGTAGCAGGCCTATACCCCGTGCCTCAGCTTTGCAGATGGGAAAGGGCAGGTGGCTTTTCCATTTGCCCCAGACTCTGTTTACCTCTCAGGGTCAGAGGACCCTGGCTTGGGGAGTCTGTCTGTATAGTTCATGTACCCTGTATTTGTTCAGCATGTTTAATAGTTGTGTCAGGCACACAGCTGGGCTTCTGAGTGACAGGGTCAAAAGGGCTCTTGATTTTCTCCTAGTGCAGTGATAGCAAACTGGGTTCTGAGAGGCACCTGGGGGAGAGCCTAAGGGGCAGGGTATGAGTCAGCCACCATTCTCAGCCAGAGGAGCCTTGGCATCACCTTGTTTTAATCTGCAGGTCTCTGTAGGGTGTGTGTGTGTGTGTGTGTGTGTGTGTGTGTGTGTTAACCAAGTTCTAATTGAGCACAATAAAATACACCATGGAGAATTTTCATTGGCCAAAGAGTTCTACATGAAGGCGCAGGGCCTCTCCCATCCTGGGCCTCAGCTGTGGGCCTAGACAGACCCTGGTTAGTTAGGGACACCCCACCCTGACACCAAATGGCATGTCGGGAACTGAGCCATCCATCGGGAAGCTCATGGCCCCCTCCATCTGACCTGTGCCCCACTGAGGCTCACTTTGCTTCCACCTAGGCTTTGACTTCAAGACTTGCAACGTGCTGGTGGCTTTGGAGCAGCAATCCCCGGATATTGCCCAGTGCGTCCATCTGGACAGAAACGAGGAGGATGTCGGGGCAGGAGATCAGGTAGCTCGCCACTGCACGTGGGAGCTGTGTGTTGAGCTGGCTGGGAAAGTTCATGAGCAGTGGGTTAATCACACTGAGGGGTGGATAACACAGGAATCACTCTCATCCTAGCACAAGAGCCGGGAGTGAGTTGGGTACCTCAGCTTCACGGCCATGCTGTGGATGACTGTGGTTGCTAACACTGGGTTTGGGCTTGTCTCCCCCTCCTAGAGTGTTGGGGGTCAGGGATGACATCCTTCCCCTGCACGTGCCGGTGGAAAGCTCCATGGAGGAGGCACCCAATCAACGTGGACACACCAGGCAGATTTCGGGCTTGGAGAGAGCCGCGGTCCTCTTGGTCTAGGGTGGGCGCCGCTCAGCCTGCTCTCTCACCACAGGGTTTGATGTTCGGCTACGCCACCGACGAGACAGAGGAGTGCATGCCCCTCACCATCATCCTTGCCCACAAGCTCAATGCCCGGATGGCGGACCTCAGGCGCTCCGGCCTCCTCCCCTGGCTGCGGCCTGACTCTAAGACTCAGGTGAGCAGCTGAATGACCCCGGGAGAGCCGTAGACAGAAGCTTTAACACCCCCAAATCCTCTTGATTCTGTCATTTTTAAGATCAAAATATTCAGTCTAGGCATCAAAGAATGGTCAGTTTTGAAAAGAACTATTTATGTGAAAAATCTTCAGCTAGAGATGCTTCTCACATTCTATTATAAAAAGTTTCAAAAATACAGAAAAATGGAAAGGATAGTTCTGGGTTTTATTGTTTGTTTGTTTGTTTGCTCATTAGCAAACATTGACTAATGAGTCCCCAAATCCTGCCACAAACATACTTCTTAACTGGCTTCCATATTTCCAGGCCTCTTTGTCCTGAACAGGCTGTCTGTGCTGTGTCTGTGCCGTCTGTCTCATCATGGCCCTTTTTCTTATCTTTGTTTCTCATGAAAAGGCTTTACCTCTGTTGTTTCCAGCTCCAACCCCATGGGCCCTGACCTCTCGTCTCTCTGCAGTGTGGAAATCAACCGGAGGCCTATATTTGAAGGCTGGGGTGATGCAAGTGTTAGCAGAGACACAGGCCTCCTAGCACCTCACTCCTGTATCCCCTCCCTGCTTAACCCCAATGACCCCTCTTGTGATTCCCAAGTTCCCAGCACTTCGTCCTGCACAACCTCTCTCCCTGTGTCCATGCTCATGGACACCATTCTCACATACTCAGCTCCCACATCTCCCGCCTGTGGGTTTCTCTGGTCACCCTCCAAGCAGATGGGCCCTGAGAGCCTGCTGTGTGCAGCACCCTGCCACCTCCTGCCTGCCCTTCCCCAATCCTGTTCAGTGCCATCTCTCTCCACCTACCCATGTCCCCAGTTTGCCCCAGTTTGCCCCATCAAGCACTCCTCTCACTCCAGTCCAGCCTTCCCCAGGGCTTCTATCATCCCAGCCAGGCCAGGATCAGTGCCCTACCCTCCCAAAGGTTCTCCCTGCTTGGAAATTCCAGTTAATTCCCTTTAGGCTTCATTTTTAACTTCCTAACATCTGTTCAGTGTTTTCTACAACTTTTGGCTTCCTACAAGGGGACAGGGGAAATCCACTTGTTATTCTGGCATTCAGAACCTTTTATGGTCTTCCAACTTTACCTGCCTCTGCCTGCCCCACCCCATCTTTGCTTCATTGACATCATTTCGCTCATGGTCCCCTTGTTTCTTAGGGCTTTGCTTTACCTGAGCTCCCTCTCTGGTCCTCACCTGTCCTTGAGTGGCCAGCAAAGTTCTACCTCCTCTGGGATGCCATCCCTGGCCACTAGCAGACAGCGCCTTCTCTTGTCCTGCACTTGGAATCTGGCAGCCATGGTGCTATAGCTCAGCGTGCTGTGTGTGGCTCCATGTACAACTCCAGCTATACAGAGATGGAGTTCCTTCTTGTGCAAGTGTCAGGCCATGCACAGGGTAGAGGTTGCATGCTGGCTGTACTCGGGCAGGGAAGCGTGCTTATGCCCAAAAGAAACCTTTCCTTGGGACTTCCTGTGTTATCCATGTGACCCCCCCAAGGGGGGATGGGAACCATCAGCATTCATTGGGTGTTCTTGGAGGTCATGGGTTTGGAGAGCTAAAGCATGTAGATTGTGATGGCACCTAAAGAAAGGGGCCCATGATGTCGGCCTGCCTGTCCTGTCCTGGACTAGAATGGTGCTGCAACATAGAAGCAGGGTGAAGATTCACAGAAGGGGAAATCTTAGAACAGGGAGGGGAGGCAGCCAGTGGCACTGACTGTTTTTCTCTTCGTTGTGCGAGAGAGAGGAACAGAGGGACCACCTACTGGACCTGCTGAAGCAGGTTCATTGTGCTTAGATATGAAATAGAGGGTTTCTAGGTTTACGGGTCAGCAAGGAAGGGAGGGTAGGATGGGCTCTTTTAGGGCTTCCCTTCCTTTGAAGAATTGTCTTGAAAATGCCAATACGGATACCAGAGTCAGCCTCACTCCCCTGCCACAGGCAGGACCACAGACCAGCTCCAGTTGCAGAGGGTGCAGGCTTGCTGTGGGGCTCCAGGAGGCCCCTCGCCTGCTGGCCTCCAAACAGCCTGGCTTGCTCGACTCACTCCCTCCATGAGAGAGGCCCTGGGCCAGGCACGGCTTGTCTAGGTCCCCTGCTCCGCACCCTGTTTGTGAAGCAGTGTCTTTATCCAGCCGGAGTGCTGGCTGTGAGCAGGATGGGTCCTTCCACCTGAACAAATCCCTGCTGCTGATAGTGAGGCCTGGGTGGCAGTGCAGATGGCTATTTTTGTACCTGATCAGAGCTGTGTTTTCCATGGTGTGTTTTTCCCCACATCTTGCTGACGTGATGAGATAAGCGCTGTGCTCAGGGCCCTTTGCTCTGCCACCCTGTTCTGCAGTTCTGCAAGGCCACTGCGTGGAGTCTACTGGGTGGGGGTGGAGTCACCCAGGGGAACAGTGGAGACGGCCTGAGCACCCTCCCCGGCTGTGCGCCTTTTCCTGAGGCTCCATGCAGCAGACCCAGTCCTAGAGTCTGTCACAGACAGTGCCTGTCTTCCTGGGAGTGTCCTACCCCAGATTCCAGCCCCTCTCCCAGGACCCTATGTGTGCACAGCCTGGCATTTGAGGGCTGCTCTCAGCTCACGAGATCTGTGTGCGTCGGGCCATCTCTTGCAGATCTCACGTGGCCAGGGCTCTTTCTTCTGCTTCTTCTGGACCTTCCCTGTTGCTCCTTAGACCAGGCAGAACACAGAGTAGGAGTTTGTTACAGATCCAGGGTTTGATGGATACCTGAGTAGCCTTGGAGAGGTAGAGAGCTTGCTGCAGGCACAGTCCCAGGGAGCCACTGTTTGCTGCCCCATGGTTCTGTCCAGGCCCTGGGATGGGAGCAGTCCCATGCCCACTGGCCAGTGTTCCTCCCAGGGTCCTCTGGCAGAGCTGCACCCCTGCAGGCACCACATGTTCCTAAGATCCTCTGAGCCCTGCTCTTGTGGGTCCATGCTGCTTTCAGCAGTATTGGGCCTGTGGCCAGCACAGGGTCTTGAGCAGCAACCAACCTTCTTCTTGGAAGAGCCCTGTCTACCAGCCTGTGCAGCTCCAGGTCAGGTCCCAACTCTTCCAGCTGTGTGATCTTGACCAAGACATTTACATTTTGGATCCTTGGCTTTCTCATCTGCATCATTGGCAGAAGGAGAGATACCTCCAGGGCTATAGAGGGTCAAGAAAGGGCTTTGGCCATGGGGACATTTGTTGGCACCTGGAAATGTCTGAGACAGAAGAGGGGTCATAAGTTGAGAGGAAACTCAAGTCTCCAAGCCGTGCTAATTGTGGTCCCATGTGGGAATAACTGGGCCTCACACCCAGTCCCCCCACAGCACCAGGCAATTTTTTGAATGTAAGAATGTGTCGGATTAACTCCCCCAACACCCTTTGAAGACAGGAGGCCCCACTTGGCTTCTGGGAGCCCTGCCCACCTCCTCCTGGGTGTCTGTGCCTGGCCACCATGTGTCATTCGCTCAGTTCAGCCTCACAGTGTCTCCCCCACCCTTCTGATGGACAGGTGACAGTTCAGTACATGCAGGACAATGGCGCAGTCATCCCCGTGCGCATCCACACCATCGTCATCTCCGTGCAGCACAACGAAGACATCACGCTGGAGGAGATGCGCAGGGCCCTGAAGGAGCAGGTCATCAGGGCCGTAGTGCCGGCCAAGTACCTGGACAAAGACACCATCTACCACCTGCAGCCCAGTGGGCGGTTTGTCATTGGAGGTCCCCAGGTGCATCCTTGTCTCTGAACGAAGCCCTGGTTTGTCTTTGTTACTGGGGTTGCTTATGTCTCAGAGCAGGAAAACCGCAAGTTAGCTTGGAGTGGGTCAGCTGGCTCTGACCATGGACTAAATGTAAAGTTGGTGAATTTTAGCCTCTGTACATTCAGTGCAGTCTCTGGGGAGGTCTGCTATGTGTCTGACAGTGTGTGGGAAATTGGGGACATATCCCTAGGATTCCTCCACTTAGCACTGCCGGGCCCTCCCACTCCTGCCATCTCAAGTGACCACGACCTTACCCATAGCCGCTGCACCTCGCCCTGCTCTGGTGCACATTCCCCGCTGCAGCATTTGCACATGGCCAGCTGTTCCCAGGTGGCTGTTTCCAGATCTTCACCACAGGCTGCCTCTGGCTGTTGTGGGCGCCCGGGTGCAGCAGGGTGTTTTAGACAGGGCGCCACTGGCCCCTCTTCTGTACTGCAAGTGTGAGGAGTGGAGGTTGCAGAGCACCGCTGCCAGGCTGCTGCCCACTGCCTGGGCCCTCAGCTTGCGTGCTTTGCCACAGAGCTGAGCCCCATCCTGGGTTCCAGGAGCAAGTGGAATGTAGAAATACAGGGTAGAAGGAGGTAACACTTAATTGTTTTTTCTTGCAGGACTTCTCAAAGCCTAGACATACTAGTGTGAACTGTGGATCTCTAAAAGCGGGGGTAGAGTAGGCAGACTTCCCCAAATCATATAACATAGAACTCCCACCCTTTTAAAGACATGACTATTGACTGATGTTGCCCAGAGCACACTTGGGAAGTGGACAACATGGCATTTGCTAGGTGGCACCAGCCAGGGTTGTATTTTTGACAGTGCAATTCCTGCCTGCAGTTGGATCTCTGCATTGTGATGGACTCAGTAACAAAGGCATTAGGGAGTGGCTGTGACCCCAGAGAACCCCTGGCCCACCTTCTGCCCTTTCTAATGAAGCTTTGGCAGGTTACCTGATTTCAGTATGTGGGCAGTGACTGAGCTGGGAGTGGGGTCCAGAGTTTTGGGCAAAGGAGTCTTACGAAAATGTCTGTGGGCAGCCCCAGGACATCGTTCCTGAGTTGCAGTTCAGCTGCCATCAGAGTTCTTCAGCCCCCTCTAGCATCTAGGGGCTGGCTCTGCTTCTTATCTTGATTTCTCTCCCTCCGCAGGGGGATGCGGGTGTCACTGGCCGTAAGATTATTGTGGACACCTATGGTGGCTGGGGGGCTCATGGTGGTGGGGCCTTCTCTGGGAAGGACTACACCAAGGTGGACCGCTCAGCTGCATACGCTGCCCGCTGGGTGGCCAAGTCTCTGGTGAAGGCAGGGCTCTGCCGGAGAGTGCTCGTCCAGGTAAGCCCCTCCACCCACCACCGTCCTGTTGCAGCGGAAGACCCCTGCCCAGCTCTGCCCTGAGTAAGGGGATGTTGGCCCGGTGGGAAAGCTGCACGCTTTGCCAAAGGTTGTGATTGTGTGATTGTGTTGGGCACTGTGGCCAGGGCTCTGAAAACCTGGGGGAGGGAAAACTAAAATCTTCAGGGAGAGGGGCACGTAGAATAACTGTCCTCGGTGAAGGTAGCAGGAAAATTGCAGGGGAGCATGCTGGGCAGGAGACATGTGGTCCCCGCTGGTCCCTTCAGAAGAAGGGCAAAGCTGCTGAGGGGGCAGGGCCCACACAGAGGCTCCAGTCCCTGACGCTGCGCCTTGCTGGAAGGTTTCCTATGCCATTGGTGTGGCCGAGCCGCTGTCCATTTCCATCTTCACCTACGGAACCTCTCAGAAGACAGAGCAAGAGCTGCTGGATGTGGTGCGTAAGAACTTCGACCTCCGGCCGGGTGTCATTGTCAGGTAAAGCGCCATGCTCCGCTATTACACAGGACCTTGCTCCCTCCTTGCCCAGTTGCTCACCTCACCTGAAAGGGAGGCAGAAAGGAGGATGTTTCTGCCTCTCAGAAGTGGGAGGGTCTGTGAGCTCCTGGTACAGCACACTGCATCCTCAGGGCAGAAAGCCTGGCTGTCAGGTTGAAGGAGGCCGCCCCAGGTTCCTGCTGGCCCAGTCAACACCAACTCCGGTGGGGCCAACTCTGAGCAGCTGAGAGGCAGGCGGGGATCTTAGGAAAATAATTATTAATATAAGGCCAAATGGCTCAAATGGCTGGGAATCGAGTCAGCAAGTCTATTCCCTGTTTCCAGAGCTTGGTGGTGTCAACACTGGCCTGGGCCAGGTAAGTGGAGTGGGAGGAGAAAGGCATCCGAAGGCTGGAGTTAGGTCCTGGTCCGTGAACCTCTGAGCATCCGTGGGGCTATAAAACGAGACTGTGGTACGGCACAGATAGGATGTGTGTGTGCAACTGCTGGGGGGAGGTGTAGTGCCATGTGAGGAGGGCTGTGCTACAGTTCGTTGCTCCCTCCTGTCCTTGAAATGGAGAAAGAAACCCTGCTCCTGTTCCATCTTCCAATGCCCTTCCCTTCTGCTGGACATGCAGGGATTTGGACTTGAAGAAGCCCATCTACCAGAAGACAGCATGCTACGGCCATTTCGGAAGAAGCGAGTTCCCATGGGAGGTTCCCAAGAAGCTTGTGTTTTAGAGCCAGGGGAGCTGGGCCTGGTCTCACCCTGGAGGCGCCTGGTGGCCATGCTCCTCTTCCCCAGAGCCCTGGCTGCTGATGGCCTTCCCCACCCACCAACCCTCGGGGCAAAGCCAGGTTCCTCTCATTTAGCCTGTTCTGTCATCATCATGGCCTCGGGGCAAAGCCAGGTTCCTCTCATTTAGCCTGTTCTGTCATCATCATGGCCTCGGGGCAAAGCCAGGTTCCTCTCATTTAGCCTGTTCTGTCATCATCATGGCCGGCTGGAGGCAGGGGCTTCCTGGTGCTGGAGGCTGGCTCTTGATGTGAGGATGGGCATGGTGTTCTGCCGCTCCGTCAGACTGGGGCAATGTTAATTTAGTGGAAAAGGCACCCCGTCAAGAGTGAATTCCCTCACTCGCCTCCCCCAACAGCTGGACCCTGACCAGCTCCCCCTCTCTCCCCTTGTCTGTGCCAGGTGAGGTCAGCACATCTCACAGACCTCAGGGCTCCTTGTGGACCTGGGCTCCTGGGCCTCCCTTTCACAGGCAGCCAGCGCCCTGAGCCAGGGTCTCCAGAAAGCCCCTTCCAGGCCAGGCATGTGGCAGGGGTTAGAGCAGGACTAATGTCTCCTAAGCACCTGTAGTGTGCGAGGGACCCAGCTAATGACTGGGTCATTTTTTCTTCACTGCAACATGATGAGGTAGTACCTTTTATTATCCCATTTATAGATGGGGGAAAGCAAAACACAGAGAGGCTGGATAACTTCCGCAGGGTCCCATAGGCACGTGTTTAGGCCTAGATGTGTAACTAGGAGCTTTGACTCAGGAGCCTGTAACACACCCCCTCCCCCATCGTTGTCACATGCCAGTAACAGGCTTGAACAATGACAAAGCAGATTCAGAAATGAGGCCATGGACTCTGTCCTGAAGGCCCAAGGTTACTGGAAATGAGGGAATTAACCCACCAGCTCTTGTTCAGCCCTGGGCAATTGTCTGAAAAATGAAGACGGAACCATAGGGCTATTTTGTTTGCTTCATGTGTCCCAGAAGATGGCTGAGGGTAAGCTGGATACCTGGACCATCAGCATGGGCTGGAGTTTGGGATTAACCAGCAGCTCTAGAATCCCAGCCCCCTGACCTCTCAGAGACATGCAGAGATTGGGTTTTTGGACTTCTGGGGTAAGTGGTCTGAGTCCAGTCCAGTCCTATCTGGGCTTCCTGTAGCAGAAGCAGCAACTTGTCCTAGCACAGATGGCCAGCCCCTTATACAGAGGCCCTCAGGTCTTTCTTTTTCCCTGGTCCCTTGTATCCTCTGCAGTCTGAGTGCATTTGGAGGGAGGGAGGGGCCCTTCGGATGCCCCATCCAGGGAGGCTGGTCCTAAGGCCTCACGTTAAATAGGCGGGGCTTGCCTTCTGGTGTTGGACAAGCTTGAGATGTCACGAAGAGATTCTGCCTTTGCCAGGTGACTCTCTGGGGAGCAGGTCTGCTCCCAAGGGGCCTGAGCAGTCCTTGGCCCGCTAGGGTCTTGGAACTCACCTGCCTTTCCATCCATGGCCAGCAGTACCTGCCCCACCTGCCCCACTTGTCCTTAGCCTGGACCTCTGATAGCAGCATCTCTACCTTCTCCCCAGCTCCCAGGACCACAGGCTCAGGCAGGGGCTTCCATGGGCCCCAGGGGAACAGTGGGGACTCGGCCTCTCTCTAGGGTGCATGGTGCTGGTTCAGGCTGGGAGAGGCAGCCCAGGAAGTCTCATCTGGGGAGCAGGCAGCCTGCATCTGGGCCTTGGCTTGGAGCACAAAGACCCTGGCTTTCATTTTCTCTCAGATGAACGGAAATTAAGGCAACAAAAGAAGCCCGGCTCCTGGTCACCTAGGAAGCCTCAAATTCCTTCCCGTGGAGGGAGGGAGAGGTTTGCAGGTGACCGAGTTCCTCTAACTTGGATCATACTTGACATGAAAATTCAGAATTTTATACTTTCCCTGCCCTCTAGAGAAATAAGATATTTTTTGTCAATTTGTTTGTTTGAAACTAAAGCCTCTATTTGTTAATAGTTCCTGCTAAAACAGTGAATAAAAACTCAAGGAGCAACTACCCTATGTTTAGTTTTTCTCTGCAAAACCCCAGAGACATGACACCTGCTCTGTGTAGCATTCCCTGGTTGCCTGTCCCCACCAACAGAGGGAGTTAGTATCCTCCCCTCGGGGTCACCTCCTCCTGTCCACATGGAGCAGATGTCTCATGGACTAGGTTTTTCTTGTTACTAGCAGCTGTGTTAAGCCACACCACTGCCATGTTCATTCCTCACCACATCTCACCAGGGTTGATATTCTTAGGAAGCCCATTTTTACATGCAGGGCCCTGAGGCCCAAAAAGGGTTAAGACCAAGGGCAGTGGCCACCCCTGGCTCCCCTGAATTCTGTGTGCTCTCCTTACGCATTGCTGCCCTTAGGCTGCCTATGCCTTATCCTGTGCCCTTCCTGCATGGTGTCTCTGTGAGGCTGGCTTGAAGGCATGCTCAGGCCATGTCTGGAGTGTGGATAAGTGACTGAACTTGAACAAAGTGAGGGAGTGGAGGGGCTTCTGCAGAGAGAAGAGCCAAACTTTTAAGTGGGTGCACATCTCCCTTCACTCATGTTCAGTTGTGAAGAGAACAAGCAAATGGTTCTTTTTCATTAGAAGATCATCCCTGCCATGGCCCCTGGTGATATGGTTCTTGGGGTTTGATCAGAGCAGGAGGAAGATGGGTCCTGCATGGTTTCCGGCAAGCAGGCTGTGTGGACAGGACTCAGCTCTGAGGAATGTCCTGGTGCAGCCTGAGGCAAAGCCTGTGTGGCTCCCCTGTCTCATGTGCGGACAAGGCTGATCTGGGGTGCCAGGAAGACCCAGAACATAGCAGGGAGGGGAGAGGAAGATGAGGCCAAGGGGTCTCATAGTCCTGTTTGAGACAGAACCTATACCCCGAGAAGACACTAGGTGGGCAGTACAATGAAACATGACACATTACAGAGAAAAGCACGTTTCTCAAGTGTATACAAACAGACACACTTACGAAACACACTGGAATACTTGCCTGGGGTAGGGGGAGGACTCTAGGTATAACATGCAAAATAATTAGTGAAAGCAAGAAAGAACCAACTTTTGAGCCACAAAGCCAAGTGTCACAGTGTTAGGGAAATGTGGAAGGAGCAAAGGAGGTTGGCAGGGAGCGGCCAGTGGAGTTTAAGGAAACTCAGGAGGGCAGGGTCCCTGGAAGTCAGGTGAACACTGTTTCTAGAGCAGGGGAGCCACCAACTATGCAAAATGGTTTTGATGGGTTACATGATGGAAGGCCCAGGACTGTCCAGTGAATTCAGCCTCATGGAGGTTGATGATGTGGGAAATATGTAAATATGACTCCATCTCTTACCCCAGTCATCCTCCCCAGGCCATCTTGTGACATTCAGAGTGCGTGTTGGGCTGCACTGCCCTGCATGTCTGTGCAGTGCCCGCCCCTGCCCTCATCCTGGACTCTGCTCCCCTGCCACACACATTCCAGACTCCCTGGCACTTTAGCTTCCCCCGACAGGCCAAGCTCGTTCCTGCTCAGGGTCTTTGCACCTGTCATTCGTCATGGGTGTGGGTGTCGTTCTGTCATGGGTGTCGTTCTGCCATGGGTGTGGGGTGTGCTGCAGGCTTCAGATGAAATTTCTGTGTTTCCAAAAAGCCCCTTCTTTGATAGCCTCTCTTTCTACTCCATTCCATTTTTAGTTTCTTGTTCAGTGTTTAACATGATGTTCCTTGGAGCCTTTCACTTGAATCCTTCCACACCCATTCACTCTCCCTTCCACACCCATTCACTCTCCCTTCCACACCCACTCACTCTCCCTCCCACACCCATTCACTCTCCCTTCCACACCCATTCACTCTCCCTTCCACACCCACTCACTCTCCCACACCCATTCACTCTCCCTCCCACACCCATTCACTCTCCCTCTGACTCTCCCACACCCATTCACTCTCCCTCCCACACCCATTCACTCTCCCTCCCACACCCATTCACTCTCCCACACCCATTCACTCTCCCACACCCATTCACTCTCCCTCCCACACCCATTCACTCTCCCACACCCATTCACTCTCCCTTCCTTCTCCACATGGGGGTCCTCCGAATCCCTGCAGTCTCCGCTGACAAGCCTCCCTCCACGATGCTCCCAGTCTCCCAGGAAGATGCTCCCAAGCACCATCCATAAATCACACCCAACGCCGTCTCCATCTGCTACTGGGCTATCAAAGGTTGTAGTTCTTTAAATGACTAAATATTTTCATTAATTATTAATGATGGTATTATGGCAATAATTCTATTGCTTACACTCTGAAGATGATGTATCAACCCAAGTAAGAAAACTTCTTTCCCCAGCTTCATTAAGGTATAATTGACAAATAAAAATTGTATGTATTCAAGGTATACAATGTGATTTGCTATATGTATATACTGTGTAATAATTTCCACAATCAAAATTATAAACACATCCATCATCACACACAGTTACCCTAAAAGGTTGAAATTCTTTATCGATGTCAGTGTTTGTTTATTTATATCTCTTGCCCCCATAGGACTTGGGGTTTCCAAGGTCATCTGGCCTTGTCTGCCGTCTCACACCTGCCTTCAATGCAGGGCTTGGCACAGAGTAGGTGCTTGGTGTAGCATGGGTCATATCAGAGAATGAATTTGAGGTGTGTCCATCTGTTCTACCTCCTGAGCTCCTCTTAGCAAAGATAATGCTGCAAGATACAAGGATCCTGCTTGCCCTTTGGTAGGTCTTGCCAGGCTCAGCTGCTCAGAGATGTAAATGTCAATCATTCCACAGAGCTGTTTTTTTTTTTTAAGCACCTATTAAGAGCGTAGCACTGTGACTATAAGGATTTATGCTGTTGCAGGTCACAGAGGACTAGAGAGACCAGTATGGTTGAATACAGGAGAGTATTTATTTTAAGGTGCACACCAGCTCAGTGGATTCACATCCAAAAAGCTGAGCCTTGAACAAAGACTGAGCAGGGTTTTTATAAGCAAACTTACAGAAGCAAAACAAAGGCAGTTAATCATATACTGACAGGTCATGTAATCTATAGCGTAACTGATGACTTGGCATAACTTGTGGCCTTGCATAGCTGGTGGCCTTCTAGCTGCATTGAAAGAAAAAACAAGAACTGGCTAAATATTTGTCCTTTTTTTTTTTTTTTCTTTTCCTTCATCCTTGCTCCTGAGGTGGGGTGTCTGGAGCCTGTTCCATTGGTTTCAACTTCTCGAACAGCGTTATCTTATAACTGTCCTTGAAGTGAGCTTGCTAGGCAGAGGAAAACTTGTCTTTTCATTTTAACCCTTGCCTTGCCACACTCTGGGCCTTGGCTTTTACTTTTCTTGGAGTGAATGAATGCAGTACTTATTATTATTTTTAAATGTCTGCCTCCGTACAATTGATCACTCTCCATTTTAGTTGCTTCAGCCCTAGAAGTAACTATGGCATGCCAATGAGGGAGACACCTCGTGTCAGAGGTCCCAGAGAAAGGCAACATCCAATGAGGGGCAGATGCACAGGAGGGATGAAGGGGCTCAGGAGGTGGGAACTTGGTCTGAAAAGTATAGGAGGTGCTTTGGAGTTGGAAGTGGATGGAGGAATAGGGGATGAGAGGAGAGTCAGGGAAAAGAATTAGCTCAGCAGGGGTTTGGTTGGGATGAAAGGCATGGGGTGGGAACTTTAGAATAACTTCATGCCTGTGGCAAATTCCCTAGAGTAAGTATGACTCAGGCACAGCGTAAGAGGCAATGTGACAGACACCTGGTCCCTGGCCTATGAGGTCTTCTTCCTTCCTACCATAATGCCTCCATGAGGAACGTTTGGAGAAAGAAGGAACAAGGACTGTGTTCTGAGTTTGGTTCATTTCGGCTCAAATGTGGAACAGTGTGGGTAAATTAATAATTCAATGGGAAGAAGAAATCAACCCAAGGGAACAGGAGAGTTTACAACCTCAACAGCGGAGTCCCTATGATATGGGAGGTTTGTCAGACCCTTATCATGTGACTCTCATGGGACGGGATGAAAAGCAGAAGCCAAATAATTTGCTGTCTTAGTCTTTTCAGGCTGCTATGACAAAATAACATAAACGGGGTGGCCTACAAATTAGAGAAATTTGTTTCTCACAGTTCTGTAACTGGATTTTGAGAGCTGGGTGCCAGCATGGTTGGTTCTGGAGAGGTCCCACTTCCTGGGTACAAATGGCCAACTTCTCACTGCATTCTCACACGGCAGAAAGAGGGTGAGAGAGTTGGGGTGCATGTGATAAGGGCACCAATCCCATTTATGAGGGCCCTGCCTCTGAAAGGCCCCACCTCCTAATATCACATTGGAGGTTAGGATTTCAACATCTGAATTTGGGGGGGACACAAACACTGACTCCATAACACTTGCCGAATCTGATTTCTTAAAA